CAGCTACTTTGTTGAAGCTTGAATAACTGAATATTTTATCTCCTTAATATTCTTCTCAGCCAGTTGGTGCTAGTCTTAGGCCTTTTTGTCTAGCATTGGCAGCTTTTGCATTGCTGTGGTTTTGGGAGGGGACCAGGGTCCCTTTCTAAGGCCATGGCTCCCCGCCTGGTATAGGGATGGTACAGGGATAGGATGGTATAGGGATGGTATAGGTATAGTAAAGGGATGAAGACCTCAGCTAGCTCATCCTCCTCCTTCCATGTCTGATGTTAAGGGATCCAGAAGGAGAGGACAGGGAAGCTGGAACATTTCTGGAGGAGAATTGCTAGGAGAGGTTCCCTGGATGTATTATTCTAGGTGATGGCAGCACTGTGGTCAGATGGAAAGTCAAAGATCAACGCAGGTCTGAGGAATACCATGCTTCTTAGCCCCAGGCAAAAGGACCATTATATCAACCTGACAAGCTTCCAGCACCTCATCCTGAATAACTCTTTACTGATTCCTTAGCAGTGTCAGACGTGGCACCTTCCTGCACACGTGAGGGCTCTGGCAGCCTGGACAGAACCCTGGGGGCATCAAGGAATAGGAAGCTTTATGAACTACTGGCCTAACAAGCAGCACTGCAAAGGAGAAGGAGTCTGAATTATTGACAGAATTTAGATAGCACAGGGTTAGGAGTAGAGGACATACTTACAAGTGATTTTTCTTGACAGCAACCAGTAAGACTTTATTTTGCCCCATAATAGGACTTGATTTTTTAGAACACAGTCGATCTGCAAATGCCTGTTTTTGCTTACTTGCTGAAGTGTATTTGCAACTCCAGAATCAATCCTCGGAGCATTTTGGCAGTCACTCACTGACATGTGCAGAGTGGTGAAAAATTTGAGTCACCAGACGGGCGCATTCCCAGCCGAGGTTGAACAAGGCCATCCTCTGCCTTCCTGTGTCGACTCTCATACCATAAACAAGTGCCCTTTTCACAGTGCATTGAGTGCCACGTTCTTTACATTTTTGGGCCTTCTCCTTGATGGTTTCAGTGTTTCAACTGGACCCCAAGCATTGTATTTCCTTAGCCCTAGACTGTGGTGCTGTGTCCTGTGAAGAAACTGTGGAAGGGAGCAAAGAAGAGCAAGTTTCCTGAATCAGGCACAGGACACAGGGGCTGCTCAATGCTAATGAATTATAATATATCCTTAGACAAACACACACACATAGATGTGACCAGAGGTTAACCCTGCATTTTACTTACAAACAATAATTCAGGATTCATTAATTGAGTGGCTTCAGCAACTTTTTAGAATCTACATCTCCATGTGTGAAGCCCTGGGTTTAATTCCCCAAACACACATACTCAATTCAAATATATATGTATATGTCTACCTAGCCATAAACAAGAACTGGCTATTCTCCATTTTATTAGACTAGAAAACATTGTTCTTAAATATTCACAAGTGCACATGATACTTCTAACTGCTTTTGGAAGTTGACAACTGTGCAAATCTTGTCCATGAACCCCGACATGAGGTAGTCTCAGTCACAGAAGACCACCAAACAAAATAGCTGCCAGTGGGTCCCTTGTGATTGAAAACAGGATGACCCAGTGGTGACAGTGATGGTGTTGGGACCTTGAACAGTCAGATGGGAGGAAACTGACCATCTGCTCAAAGGTGGAGCCCGGCAGGTCTGACTAATGGGCAGCAAGGCCAACAGCTGCAAACTGTTTACGCACTCTGATTTATTTACGGGATAAACTAAGGTTTATACAGTTGTGTGGCGTCTACTGCTTAAATCCAGAAAGAAGCAAATGGTAAACTCTGAGTTTTATGAATTATGCACTGTGCAGTTTTCTCCCAGAAAAGAAAATAATTAAGTCTCTTTACCCAATTTTCTCTGAAGTTAAGCTTCTAGAAAGAGAAAATGAGAAGGGAGGAAAGGGAGGCTGGACATTTGGTAGGATGGCTGGAATCGTGGGTTGAGTCTCTAGTGGATGTGGTCTGCTTGTCTGGATGAAGTAGATGGACTTCTCCCATCATTGGAAGAACTCATTAGAGTCCCCTGTTTCCACCTTCAGCATTGCAGAGTTTGAAGTGTGCTTGCTTCCCGACTTTGTGCCTGGGGTACAGGTGGGGAAGCAAGCCAGCTGTGTAGGTCATAAGTGTATGCTATGAACTTCCAGCATTATTTGCTGCCAGAAGAACTACAGTACACTTGCAGTTAAAAATGTAGAGGGAAGCTGGGTGCCAGTGGCTCATGCCTATAATCCTAGCTACTTAAGAGGCAGAGATCTAGGATAGCAGTTCAAAGCCAACAGAGGCAGGAAAGTCTGATGAGATGTTTATCTCCAATAAACTATTCAGAAAAAGCTAGACGTGGTGCTGTGGTTCATGTGGTAGAGCACTAGCCTTGAGCACAAAGAGGCTTAGGGACAGTGACTAGGCCCTGAGTTCAAGCCTGAGGACTGGCCAAAAAAAAAAATCCAGAGGGGATTTTAGTCTAGTTTTTATTTTGGTTTTCAACCTCTGCCTCTGCTGTTTGTTGCCTTGGAAAAATGAAATATAATTAAATGCACTCAATTTTCAGTTAATATGCAACTGCATTATTTCAGCTTGGTTAATTTGGCCAATTAATTTAATGTGATCTCTTAATGGGAAGAAAATTTAAAAGATCTTAAATTCACTTATAAGTCATTTACTGTTAATATTCTTGCACGTCCCCTTGTTGTCTTATATTTAGACTTATAAACATTTGGACTTAAACAATAAGAAATCTTCATTCTATTCCACCCACATTTCTTCATTAGGAGTTAGCATATAACACAAGAAGGACCTTCTCTGTCCTGCAGCATCAGTGTGAGTTGGCCTGATGACCCAGGCTTCATTTCTAGTGAATCAACACAGGAGAGTCTAGACTTGCTTCATTTCTTGACAAGCACCAATGTGGGCTTTGGTGGGCTTTTTCCCTCCTGCTGAGATGGGATCTATGTTAGCCACCCCTCCTTCATTATAACAAATACCTGAGATAATGAACTTACAGAGAGAAAAGTTTTCTTTTAGCTCACAGTTTTAGAGATTCTAATCTAAATTTATGGGTTTGTTGTAGGCACATTGCTTTTAGGCCTTTTATGCCACTGCTCCGTGCCAATGACTGGGGTCACAAGTGGTTAAAATTAAAGTACTGACCACAGGGAGAAAGAATGAAAAGAGAAAGTGCTGGATCCCACAGGCCCTTTCAAGGTCATGTCTACCAATGACCTAAAATCCTCTCATCAAGCCCTACCCCCTGAAGGTCCCACTACCTCCCAACCTTTAACTTGTGGGCCTTTGAACCATAGTATGGTGTCCTCTAGTCTCTAGGGCTCTCATTCTGGACTGCTGTTTCTTTCCATAAAACACTGAATTCCAGCATGCTTTGTTTTCTGCACTGTCTCCATGTCTTAGTGACTGCTTATTTCCCCATAGTGATTACTTTTTAATAACAACCTGGGAGTTCATCCAGACTTTGTTTTGCATCCTTGAAGTATTTTCACACCATCGCTCATAAACTCACACTGTTTTTATGCTTGATATCAAGGGCCATTTTCTTTTATATGTTTACCCTTGCTCAGTTTTATGACCAGGCTGGTCATGACTGTAATCAGTCATTAAGAGCAGTAGCCCTTCATCCACCTTTGTATAAGAACAATTCTTATGAATAAAACTGATCTCCTTTGTTTTCTAGTTTGAAAAATCCTCCACACCTTGGAAAAATTAAAATACGATTATTGGAAGGCTCTATGCTTGCTCTTGCCCAAGCATTGCCTACTCCCTAATTAGAGTGGAAAGTCAGGCCTGCCTATTCTGGATGCAGAGAGCAGCTGGGGCCAGGGGAAATGTTTGTGTGGCATTTCAGGTCTGCTGGTTCAGCAACAGAGACCACGGCGTGCACACTCAGGACAGCAAGCTCAGCACATCTGGCCAATATTATGTCTCCTTCCACGGCAGGCACATCTGATCATTTTTAATTGAGTCATTGACCCAGAGATACTGTGGTCTGGCCTGGGCTGGGTGGGTCTGAGTGTGCACGTATGCGTGTGTGCGCACGTGTATGTGCGCGCTCACATGCTGCATGTGCATACCACTGGGTCTATGTAGCAGCAGTCCACTTTCTCACTGCTGGAATTTCAGCAGCAGCCCACAAAGTGTTTTTAAACAAAACCAGAATGATGACCTTGAAGGCACTGTGGAGCCAGATCGCGTCCTTTCTGGTTTGTGCTTGGATTCCTTCCAGAGTCTGCATTGCTGCCTTGTGATATGTGCCAAAAAAAAAAATTGATTTTTTTTTGTAATTCTTTAACCTTGGCTAAGTATGTTACATGTTTTCAAGTAACAATTGGCATATGGTACAGAATGTAAGCCAACTCGCCCTGGTAGCCCAGAACTATACCTCCCTGCAGAGCTTTTCTTGTGAGCTGCCAGCTTCCTCTACTTCACACAGGGATCCCCGAACGTAGGAGAAGGCAGACCTTGTGTGTGGCTGAGCTCTGCATTAGTTTCAATTTTCTTTTTGGTGCTAGGGATGGAACCCAGGCCTTCACCGCTGATTTATGCTCCTGGCTCTCTTTTTTTTTTGGTGCCAGTACTGGGGTTTGAACTCAGATCTTTGCATTCTTGCTTAGCTTGTTTTCACTCCAAGTTGGTTCTCCTCACTTGAGTCACACCTCCACTTCTGGCTTTTTGGTGGTTAATCAGAGATAACAGTCTCATACATATATCTGCCCAAGCTGGCTTTGAACCGTCATCTTCAGATCTTGGCCTCCTGAGTAGCTAGGATTACAGGCATGAGCCACTGACACCTGGCTGTAGTTTTCATTACAGTGCTCATTTTCCTCTTTGGTTGAGTTTATTTGTAGGTTGTCCTCACTTTCATCCTCTCTTGATCGTGTGTGAGCTACCCACATGGACATGCAGGGAGATCAGGGCCTCCCTGTTCTGAAGAGGATGTGTTTTGTGTCTCTGCTGCAGGAATTGCTTACTTAGGAGGTGTGTGCAGCTCTAAGAGGAAATGTGTGCTTGCCGAAGACAATGGGCTCAATCTGGCCTTTACCATCGCTCATGAGCTGGGCCACAAGTAAGTATCAGACTCTGTTGTTCTGTCCTTTAAATTCATTTGTGAACACTTTTAAAAAAAAACTTGAATTCTGGAAGTTCTGTAACAGTGCTAACTGGTAGCTTTTGCTGTTTCTCCCATAAAGAGCCTAGCCAGTTCAGCAGAGAACCAGCCCTGCAGGGGTCTCAGGAGGTTACCTCACAGGCTTGCCTTGAATGTTAACATGCTTGTTTGCGTTTTATGTTTATTCTTTCACTCCAGGACTGTGGAGGGAAGAGGACTTTTCTGGGTGTGTTATTTTCCTATGGCAGTATGACCTTCTGTACACTCTACAGATAGCATTCACATCATGGATTTGTCTTGAGGCCCATTGGCTTTCTGTTTTCTTTTTAACCAGTTTCAAAGTCAGACTTTCTTGGTTGCAGGATTCAGGGTTTTAAGAGGATTAACCATGACTTCCTTTGTGCATAGATGAGATAACTCTTAAGAACCTTAGAGCTCAAGGATATGCTGTAGATAAACTGAGGCAGCCTCTGCTATTTCTAGAGGAGGAAACAGAGGGTCAGAAGGTTTGAGGGACTGACCCAAGGTTTCAATCACCTGCAGGAAGCCCTCCTCCCAAGGGGTAGAAAGTCAGCTGACTATAACTGTTGCCTGAAAGTTTATTCTTTCTCTTGGAGTGGATGTCTGTTTTATGTTTCTTTGAAGGCAGAACTGTGATATGATTGTGTAAGAACTTAAAAAAATTAAATTGAGGAGCCAAGAGCATGCAAAAACAGTGGGAGCATTTATATTGGATCATACAAAACATCATTAAAGGGAAATCTAGTTCTTGGGGAAAATGCTATAAAATTTTTCTAATGACCTGCACGGGAAGATGCCTGGGGCCTTCACTCTTCGGACTCAGCTTTTGCAAGGGGAAAGCCAATGCCCTGGATGGAGTGTGAAAACATGAGCTTTACTTTGTGTTGTAGTGTGTTTATCTGGTCCCACTGTGTTGTGTTCCACCCCAGCAGAGGGTTTGGTAGACTGGTTGTACATTGTGATATGGGTAGAGATGGGGAACACAATTCTGTGTGCATGTTACGTAGAGAAATTGACTTAGCATCGGCAAGAGGACAGGAGTGGTTGTCTCTCAGTGCCCTATTGTTTCATCTTGACACTATTTACAAAATATCCCTTTGTCCATACATTTTCTATTTGTTTTTGTGCCAGTTTTGGGGCTTGAACTCAGAACCTGGGCCCTGTCCCATGGTTTATTTCTCTCAAGGTTGGTGCTCTACCACTTGAGCCATACCTTCATGTCTGTAATTTTGGTGGCTAACTGGAGATAAGAGTCACATGGACTTTCCTGTCTAGGCTAGCTTTGAACTTCTATCTTCAGCTCTCAGCCTCCCTAGTAGCTGTGATTACAGGCTTGAGCCATTGGCACCTGGCTTTATAGTCTTTTTCTAAAATTAAATGTCATCATATTTATATTAATATCTCTGCATTGGTTCAACAAAATTGGTATCAGACAGCTACTTACTAGAGAAAAAAAAAACATATATGACAATGATTTTGGTGGGCGTCTTCTGGTTGATTATCAAAGGACCCAGCCCAATCATTATAGTTGCCTAGGAATCAGCTCCCTAATGGGAGTAAGAATGCAGAACTGTCAAAATCTTCACCAACACCCAGGTTTCTATGGGTCTTTGAAAGAGTCCATTTAAATAAGATGGTTTGTGTTGTAGTTATGTAAATGACAGTATGCTCCAGCAGCATCCAGTACCAGCATCCAGCAGCACATGCATGCACTGTGTAGAGGTCTTTCTTAGACCTGAAGAATACCAAGGCTGTTTTCTTCGCATGACCTGTATGATTATGTAGTTCTGCTAGGTCTTAATACCCTCCATCTATACTCTGTTTAGAATTTCCTGGAGGGCTCTTTCTAGCTTACTATTGAGCTCTAATTACCTATATAAACACCTTATTGTTACTCAGAGCCAATAAATCCTGCCAGCATTTGGCCCTGCCCCTAGTCTGGCAATTACAGTTTGCCCTAGGAACTGTGTTGTCTCTGAATAATAGCAAATGCTGGGAACAGATTCCAGAGTTTGAAGCCACATCCTTTTATCCACAGGCCTCTCTCTGGTCACCCTTGCTCAGGCAGTCTACACGAACTGCTTGAAAAAGATAAGACCTACAGCCTCACCAATGCTAAGGGCCAAACTTCTTTATAGATGAAAGAAAAAAAAAGACCTGTAAACCAGTTGTGTTTTCTAGTAGAGCGGCACTATTCAACCCTTAGCATACATTAAGAAAGTTGCCACAAGTTTCTCCTACTGGTCCCTTGATGTGAGTACTTATAAGAAACATCCTTTTTTATTTTAAACAAAAATGAGTAGTTGTACAACAGCAAAGCAGTTTATGAATACAGTGCATCTTGATCAGTGTCACTCTTTTCATGCTTCTCTCCCAGCCCTCCCAACCTCACTACTCCCTCTGTTTTTGTAATTTTTTTTTGTAGGAAATGAATTGAACTTTTTGACTGCATTTTCCCCTTTCTCTCTCCATTCATCTGCCCTTTTCCCCTTGGGCCCACCTACCCCTACCCCTTCACTCCCTCAGTTTGAGTACCCATTTCCTGGTGTTTATTTTGTTGGACTGTGAGTTAGCCTTTCTAAGGAATTACATGGTTTGAATTTTCCTCTGAATGTACCATATGTTGGTTAATGTATTTATGTACACTTGGATACCACCCTGAAGTATTTGCTTATATATTTATAAGGTTCTGCATATGAGAGAAAACATGTATCCTTTGTCTCTCTGGGCCTGACTTAATTCACTTAACATGATTTTTTTCCAGGTCCTTCCATTTCTAATGGCTGGGTGCATGCCTCTGCACCTGAGCTCTTCTGCTACTTATCTATGAGCAGCTTACCTACTTACCTTATGCCCTTGGGTCTGATGAGATTGACACTTTGGGGTGCTCTACCCTGGTGTAGGAGTAGAGATTCCCTCTTGCCTGTAGATAACCACTGGAGGGATTGCAGATCCTGCTTCAGGCTGTGGGAGAGCCTGGGAAGGACTGCTGTGGGTTGCTGCTTAGAGGATGAGTTGGCTCAGTGAGCTGGGGAAAGGTGAGGTGAGGACATGGGATGTCGCGATGACCATGTGCCTGAGGACACACTTGCCTGGCGTGCAGCTCAGAACAGGAAGGGATCTGATCTCTGGGCTTATGGGCAGGGGAAAGATGAGCATCTGCAGCAGAGGGAGGAGGAGAAGCAAGAAGAGGGGGGATGTTCTCTTAACTGGAGTCGACATAGTTCAAATGAAAAGGAATTGTCTCGGTCCCAGAACAGGAAGGAAGGCAAGTCTTAATCCAGATGTGTGAAGCATGGGAATGTTTGTCTGTGATTTGGGTTAAGAAAGCCATCCTGCAGAGTGCAGGGTGTAGGGGGCAATATAGGACAGTTGTAGGCAGGTAGGTAGCCTGCAAGCTGATAGGGCAGTGGCCATTCTTGCCCCAAGTGTCTTCGGGGCAAGGCTTATGGGGAAAGTACTGTACAGAGAGAATTTCTGGTAATGTCACAACTGGTTAGAAATTTTGGAGCAGAAGGAGTATATTTGTGTTCCAGCTGGATTTAGAGTAGTTGGGTCTACTCAAGAATTGGCCTTGAGTAGAGTGACAGAGAAAGAATGCCTTCTCCCAGCAAGGGTATGATGCATTGGGTCTGGTTCAAAAGCATAGGATTTTCCAACAGGTTCTTCCTGGCTCCCTGAGCCTCATCCTTCATTTCTGAGTCAGCTCACAAGGCCTTACCAGCCCAAGAATAATCCTGAAGGATAGCTAGGCTCATGGCTATAGTCCTAGCTACTCAGGAGACTGAGGTTTGAGGATCTCACATGAATCATATGTCCAAAGAAGCTGGTCCTCCCTTGGAGGTAGAGCCTGGGAACTGTCTGATGCTCATCATCAGTGGGTCTTGTGCATATCTCAGGTCCTACAATATGATTACAAAGGTATTTTCTGTTTGTAAGGGGACTCAGGAAGGGAAGCCATGGGGGCTGCTTACCAAAGTGGAAAGATCAAGAACTCCCAGAGTTCCTATTTTCAAACTTGGAGATTTGTAAAGGGTATTCTTAGATACATTTTGATATAAAGAACACATTGTATTTTGAAGAACCAGCCCATGCCCTTATAATTTAAGACATAGTGCTTTATTGACTCTCCATCTTGTCATTGGACATGCCATATTGGTCTTGACTACTCCTCGTCTTATCTTTTTCATGCAGCCAAAGGTGTGCAATATGCCTTGCACCAAATGCATTCAGCTCAGATTGAAAAACAAAACCACAAAACAAAACAAAACAAAACAAAAAAACCCACAAAACTTCCACATGATAGTGTCAGACCATGTGGGTTCTTGTGAAGGAGCAATGAAGAAAAGCAAAGTGCTGAAGACTGAAAATGGGCCAAGGCTATCTTACAAAAGGGAAATTAGACAATTGCATGCATTCTAGGCTTACACTATTAATATCACTTGTAGGAGTGATTCCAGAATGGCTCATCAAACACAATTTGTGATCTCTTGGAAATAAGAGGCAGTTTTAGAAATCATCCAAGGATTGTGCCAAGACAGGGAATGTAAATTTCCTCAAGCTCTCTAAAATACTCTAAATAGTCCAAATGAGAATTATGTGAGCTGTGATCTGGACACTATTGCAGGTAAGTGAATTTTTAACTGTTGGGGACAAATTTACTCAATGGATGCTAACTAATGGACCTGTCTCTTTCTGGGAGAGATACTTTCTGTCTGCTCACAAGAATCACTGCTTGATCAAGAACTTTAGTCATGACAGGGATGGGGTACATGCTCAGAGACACTGAGGTGAACAAATATGAGAGGGAGAATAGTGCTTGAAAATTTAGGGTATGCAAAGTTTTGACCACTGGGGCAAGTGACTAAATGCAGTAAGGTATGATTTTGACTTATCCTTAACCTGTTGTTTTAGTAGTATTAGTATTAGTAGTGTGT